CGATTATATAACTGATAATATAAATTATATATTATACGTACGCACGTACATTCGTACAGTATATAATAATTTTTTCGTTTTCGTTCAAACGTCAAAGACTTGAAATAAAAGCTGTACCTGTGTAAAATCACCCGAATTATCTATATGAGATCTATCCTAACTCTTGTTACCGGGGTGAACTCGAGTAACCCGTGTAAGATCTATCAACCAGCTCATAACTATTGCTACGCAAGTAATCTAGATTAGCTATTGTCTAAAATATAAAAAAACCCTTGTCAATTCATGAATGTTTAACTCAATTTCATTTTACTTACAACAAGCTTAGCGCGTGAACATAAAAAACATCATTAATTCAAGTATTCAAAGTAAGTTATTCAAGTTCATTATTTACTCTACGTGAGTATGAATATTTATTGATCTAAACTATGAATATTTGTTAATTTAGATCAAGTATGAGACGTATCAAGCTATTCAAATTTATGAGTATTCACTATTTATACTTTCATTTTATTGCCGTTAATTTGTGTTTGAGGGTTAAAATATTGAAGTATTTAGATAAGTTGTGCAAATTCATGAATATTTATCGTTTACTTTCTTTTATTCTTTATAATTTAGTATATAAGCATGAAGAATATTTATTATTTTAGTATTTAAGTTATTCAAGTCTATGATATTTATAAAAAATATTTATTAATCTAAGCTTATGGATTATTTATTTAGATCGTGTATAATGTATATTAAGCTATTCAAATTATGAACAACCTCTATTTATAATTTTATTTATTACAAAAAATTTGTGAGTATTAAATATTTAAGCATTGAGATTATACTGTTATATGCAAATTCATGAATATTTATCGCTTACTTTTTTTATTTATAATTTAGCATATAACCGTGAAGAATATTTATTTAATTAAGTTATTTAGATTTATGGTTATTTACAATCAAATTTGTTATATGTTTATTTGGATCGAGTATGAGGTGTATTAGGCTATGAAATTTATAAGTATTCACTGTTATATATTTATGTGTAAATGCATGTATATTAATCAATTACTTTCATTTTATTTGTAGCAATTTAGTGCGTAAGTATAAAGAACATATTATTTTAAATATTTATAAATTATTAAATATTTACAATTGAATTTTATTATTCGTTCCTATATAATAATTCCAATGCTATACACATCTAATTTTGTAGAATAATATTCTTCGCAAAGTACTTCCAGAGCAATATAAGTAATTACACTATAAACTTCCGATGGATATGGCTAGACGCTATTGAAAGATCAAAATTTACTGTTATGATTACTTCGAAAATTAAGCACCTCTTGGAGCAATTTTATAGCCAAAATTCTCATGATCTAATAATTGGATCTGTGTAATTTTGGTACCATTTGAATCGGTTTGGCAAGCTGATTCGAATGGTACCAAAATTATATAGATCTGAATATTAGATCACGGGAATTTTGGCTATAAAATTGCTCCAAGAGGGTGCTAATTTCGGAAGTATATGGTATATATAAAGAATATTTGGTAATCTTTGGATTAAAATTATGCGATAAGATATTAATTTAGATAAATTTAGTATTATTGCTGTATTGTAGTTATATATATATTTGTACCAATGTTTATCTGTATATTATTAAATACGTGCATGTATTGATGTTATTTTAAGGTTAATTATTTAATATAGATATTTATATAATTGGTTAATTTATATATGTATGCTATTTTTAAATATATATTAATAAGCGTTAGAAAAATATTTAAATGTGTATATGTTATATTATTTTTTTTTTAATTTTTTCCTTGTTTAAAAGTCAGCATAGCTGATTCACTTTTATTTCGTCAGCAAAAATAAAACACATTGTCAGCAAAATAAAACACTTTTTTTCAAATTTTATTTATTTTTTTATAATAATGGATTCAGAATATTTAGCTCAACCAAGTAAAATTTCTATCGATATACATGTATTTCAAGAATTAATTCAATATAAAGAAGATGCTTTAAAATTAGAATTTGAAAAAAATCAATATATTCTTGAAATTAATAATCTAAATCATATAATTGAAAATTTAAACAATAATATTATTGCAATTCAATATAAAAATTCTATTGAAATTTCAGAATTAAAAAATTATTATGAACCTGAAATTTTTAATTTAAAAAATAAATATAATGAAATTTTACAAAATAATAAAAGTGAAATTTCAAATTTAAAAAATTATTATGAAAATGAAATTATAAATCTAAAAACTAATTATGAAACTGAAATATTAAATTTAAAAAATTATAATAAATCTGAAATTTTTAAATTAAAAGATGATTATAATCAAAGTAAAAATGATTATAATATTGAAATAATTAATTTAAAAAATAAAATTTTTTCTTTGGAACAAGAATTAAAAAATCCATCTATAGATTTATTTTCAAATTTTTTTGAAGAAAATATTAATAATTTATCTAATTTATTATACAAAAAACAATATGAAGAAAAATGTTTTCCACCTACAGATTCATTTGAATTTATGAATATGATTGATTCTTTTAATTTAAAACCATTTGTTTTAATATTTTTTAATATATTTAAATCTAATATTAATCAAAGTTCAAAATCTATTGAAAAACTTAAAATTAGAATAATGTTATTAATGTATCATTTAGCTGGATTAAAAAATAACAAAATTACCAATGTAAAAAATTCAATTGGAAGTTTTTTACTTAAAGCTGGCCTTTCAAAAAGAGCAATTAATTTATTATCATATTTTGGATATATTTCAAGTTATTCAAAATTATATTCAAATATGATAGATTTAGAAAAAAATCATAAAACATATGTGCAAAAATATTTACAAAATAATTTTAATAATCTTTTTATTATTAATATAGATGATTATCATGATTGTCATCAAACTAGACTTCCAACAATGACTTCTAATAGTAGAATATGTCATATGGCAACTACATTAATTAATAGTATGCCTGATATTTTAAAAATTCCATTTGTTTCTTCAAATAATATTTCACTTTTTAAATCAGGATTAATTTCTATTAATCATCTTAATAATGCATTAGCTAATGAATTACGTAATAATTTAATTAGTTATAATAGTCGTAAATTAGAGTGGAAAAATATTTTAGATATTTCAACATTTTCAGCTGAATCATTAATAGAATCTTTATCAGTTCATATGTATGATGGTACTCTTGAAAATCAACATATGAGAAATTTTTATAATACAAAACTTGTTGATTTTATTTCATCTGATTTAAAAAATACAGATGATTATTTACAAATTATTAATAATTTAATAGAATTTTCAGATATTAAAGAATATTTAAATAATAATATAATAATTGCACCCATGGATTTTCCTGGTCAATTATATGTTCGAAAACTTATTGTATATAAATATTTTAATCCATCTTCTGAAATTCCAAAAGAAATTAATCATTTTGTACCAATGCTTGGTCCTTTACATGTTTCATTAAATACTAGAGAAACATGTATTATTAAATTTCATCCATTTTTTAATAAATTATATAAAGATATTTTTAATAAAAAAAGAAATTTAGCAGAAAAACCAAAACCATGGCAAATAAATTTATTACTTTATATTACTCATGCTGGATGGATTAAAATAAGATCTGAAATTCTTGAAGCTTTTAAAAATTCTAAAAATGGTGGTTTTTATTCATTATTAAATCTTTTAGATGATATTATACCTTCAACATTAGATATTTATACAAATTTATTTAAAAATAATCATTTTGAATATTATTATGAAACAATATTTCGATTATGGATGTTTATGCGAAGATGTAATCGAAAAAATTATGATAAAATAATGCTTGTTTTTTTATCAGATATTTTACAATGGAATGAAAATCAACATCCAATTATAAATATATTTTTTAATAATTTAAATTTACTTGATGAATATCCAGTTGAAAATTTTCATAGTTTAGTACGTAGAAGTACTACATCAAAATTAACGAATTCAAAAACTCTTCATAGATATGGAATTTTTATAGATTATGAAAAACATGAAAATAAATTTATTTCAAGTTTTTTAAAAACAAAACAATATTTATTTTCAAAACCTCAATTAGATTCTTTAGTTTCCAATACTAGTATATTTCTTTTAAAATTTTTTACAAATTTTTATCAAAACCAAAATGATTTTAATATTAAAAAAGTTAAAAAAAATGGAAGAAATAAAATTGAAGTTTATATTCCAACAATTGAAAAATGTTTTGTAAAAGGAATTCTTCCATCAGCATATCATACAGATATACCTCCAAATAAAGAAAAATTATGTGATTTACAATTTTGTAATATTACAAATTCAGATATTACTATTTTATTATGTGGACATTCATATCATACTTCATGTTTTAATAATTTAAATTTTACATGTGATTATTGTTTTCAATATTATAAATCTTCAATTGAAACAATATCAAATAATTTTAATACATATTTAAAATCTAACAAAAAAAAATATGAAAATGATAGAGAAGAAATTAGTAGTAATAATATTATTGAATTAGATGAAGATAATATACTTGAAGATATTAATATAAATGAAAATAATATTAATACAGAATTTTCATTAGCAATGAATAATTTTATTACAATAACTAATGAAAATCAAATATCAACAGAATTTAGAAGAGTTTCAATTGATTTTTCAAATAATATAGATCAAAATAATATTATTATTTCAAACAAAAGAAAAAGAGATTCTTATCTTACAAATTTAATTCAAAAAAAATAACTAATTTTGTTTTTTATTTATCAAATTTAAATATATAAATTAATAAAATTAATTTTTTAAAAAATACAACTTTTTTTATTATAATATATAAATTTTTTTTACTATATTAAGAGTTTATTAATAAATTTTAAATAAATTTACTATATTGAAAAATTTTTATATTAATTGTTTTTTTAATTATATTAAGGATTTGCTATTTTACAAATAAGTTTTTAATCAAAGTTGTTTTTGATAATACAATTTTATATAAATAATATTTTATTATTAATTAAACAAACTACTTGCCAAAAGCTTTTAGCTAATATCACTTTTAACTATTTCTAATAGTATTTTTTTTTTTTTTAGCATAATAAATTATCCTAGTAAAAATCAAATTACAAGTTATTATCTGATATGAATATTCTATAAAATAGGTAGGCAAACTCTTCTAAACTTCAAAAAATATCATGTAAATATATTAAAAATTAATAATTACATAAAACTTATTTCTTATATTGCCTATCAAAGATATTATTTACTATATATTTATTATATTAAAACTAATAATTAATTTAAAGTTTTAATATTTAATATTTCTAATTATAACACTTTACTTGTTTTCAGATACATGAAATCGATGGTTATTTATACATTACAAAGAGCTTTGGGGCTTTGCCTCAAACCAAACCGAATTGGCATTTATTAAATGCCATCACTTTTTCGATCATATGCATTAAAAGTCTCGAGTCTTATGGCTTTGCTACTACGATTAGAATCTCTAAGCAATATGACATAACTATGACTAGTTCACACCATAGAGACGCCTTACTATTGTTCTTCAATGGAGCTTCGTCTCAAACCAAACCCGATTAAATGCCATCACTTTTTTGATCAATACGCGAGTCTTATGGCTTAGATCATGTTTTTTTGCTATGGCTAGTTCACGTTACCCTTCACAATGTACATATTGACATTTACCTATTAGCATTAGAATGTGTAATAACAATACAGTATTATGTAAACTATATACATTAAATAAATGATTATGATCTCAAACTATGTATTTAAAACTTTATTGAATTATACTGTATATATATTGATTAGGCTATCCAGAATTATGCAATTATAAATTGTATATTAGGACTTTTTAAAGACCTAAGGACCTAGGTCCTTAATTTTGGACTTGGTCTTTAAAGACCAGGTCCTAAAGTCCCGAACCTAAAAACTTTACAAACCCTACTACACAGGTCGAATGAAGACAAATTGGGCTCCAATTGGCATCACGCAATCCCAATATGAACCTGATCTAAAACAGATATTTGGCGAAGATTTTTAGAATACAAATCAGGTTCATATAGGTGCTTAATACATATCAGAATGCTGATAGCTCCATAGATAAATCAATGAAGTTATAAGTCAAGCTTTATCGATTTACCTATAGAGCTATTGGCATTCTGATATGTATTAAGTGCTTATATGAACCCGATTTGTATTTTAAAAGCTTCCTATTTGTGCCAAGTATCTGTTTTAAATTAGATTCATATCGGGATTATGTGAAGCCCAATTTGCCTTCATTCAACCTGTGCACCTAACACTTTCATTTTCAAAAATTTTCTTAGTACATTTTAGATAAAATAATTTTAATAAATACAAATTGAATAGTAAATAACCACAAATTTGAATAGCCTAATGCACCTTATACTTGATCGAAATAAATATTTATAAACTTAGATTAATAAATATTTATAATCATATATTAATCATAGAAAATAAAATAATATTAATTGTAAATATTCATGAACTTAAACAACTTAATTCGAATACTTAAATTAATAATGTTCTTCAAGCTCACACACTAAATTATTATAAATAAATAAAAGTAAGTATTTATGAATTTGCATATCTTATAGCTGTATAGTATTTCGAATACTTAAATATTTTCAATACTTACAAGTTTTGGACAACAAAATAAAAAATGAATATTCATGAATTCAAATAATGCATCTTATACTCGATTCAAATAAACAAATATTCATGATTACATACTAATCATAGCGAATAAAAAAAATATATTCATGAATTTGAATAACTTAATTTGAATAAATGTTCGTTATGCTTACGCATTAAAATCGTCATGAAAATAAACAGTAAATACTCATAAATTGACAAAGAGAGGTTTAGGCGAATAATTAATCCAGAATACTTGAGTAGCAATAACTATGAACAGTTGATTGTGCTTACACGGATTACTTGAGTTATTCTTATACATAATTTTACCTCAAGTCTTTAACGTAAAGAAAAAATTTATTTATATATATACTGACCATATAATCTATTATATAATCA